GGAAATGGAATTTCCTAATTAGTTTCTGAAATGTATTAGATGATGTGATTGCTGGAGGTAGCAGAAACTAGACATCATGACCTGGATCTTTTCCTGTCCAGTGCAAAGGATGGGACTAAGACAGCTATGTGAGAATCAAACCTAATTAAATACAGGGCACAGACTTTTTATTGCTGGATTCTTGTACAAGTCTAGACCAAAAGGGCTGACTGAATCTTGGGCCAAAAAACAAATAAACTGGGTTACACTAAACAGCACAGCAGTTAAGTCTCTTCCAACATGACTCCTCTGGACCTCAGTGATAGTAAACTTTGGTGGAGTTGAGTCCCAGGAGCAATTTCTGTATCTAGAAATAAAGGATGCATGAGATGACTGAAAGCTGGAGCTCAAGCCTGGTATTTCAGTCTTGATCTTCAGTATAAGCATGTGGAAAGATTCTAAACATCTCTATAAACAGATCAGAAATCTAGTTATCTTCCTAGGCCATTACCCAATGGCAGCTGTCTAGAGGACAATGTAAGAAAACTTCATGAATAAAGCAGTATTTTGTTACTCCTTCCTAACTTCCAGTAAGGTGTAGCTTAGGGACATCCCAAGACAGTGATGTAGCTTCATTTTTAACAGCCTCTCATACACTTACGCTTCACATCTTTATTAAGTTGAGAAACTGTTGCTTTTATTAAAACAAAGTGTAGAAGTTAAGGAGGACCACTTCTATTTGGAAAAAACCCCTATCCAGCCCTTCCATTTTTCTCATCCCTTCCTTCCCGCAAAGGTATGTCTTTGGGATGGCTGTAAAGTCATGGGGATGGCAGTTATGTATATTCTGGCTTTTTAAAAGGCTTTGTAGGCAAAAGATCTCAATTTAGTTTAGGGAACCAGTGATACTGGCATCATTAGATTGAAAAGCATTTTCTTTTCAGAAACTATGTATGTTCTTACTCTGCTTGTTTGCTTTCTCAGAAGATGAAGATTCATGATTAAAGGGGGAAAAAAAACCCTTCTGTGACTGTGTAATAGAATCTATGCTCAGAGAATCTCATTTACACTCTGCAAGCTCAAGACGAGCAAGTCTTTCTGCACTTTTGGCCAAGCAAGACTTTTGTGCCGCTCCTGTTCTGTTGAAATTAAGTTGAGGTTGATGTCTGTGTGCTCATCTACTCCAAAGATTGAGACCAAGCAATTCTTCTGCTACAACAGCCAGGCTGCCAAGACAATGCCCAGATGGCAATGGCACAGTCTATTCATGTCTATTCATGTCAGCAACTCCGGCTGTCTGAGAATATATGAAGAGATGTGAAGCTCTGAACATACTCCAGCTATAACCACCCTTCAGGAGCAGTTAAGACTCCCTCACGGGCTGCTATTCTACCTAGGGAAGAGCCCATATGAGTTTCTTTACTTTGGACTATCCAGACGGATCATGGGAGACAACAGGTTAGACAGGGTAGGCAGTTGATTAATTAGCACACAAACGTGAAAACAGAATTGTCACAGTTTGAATGTATTATTTATCAAATAGCGTATTTCCCAGGAGCTTAAACTTTAAAGAAACCACAAGGAAAATAGAGTTCTGGATGTTTCCTTTTGACAGACTGTATTTCACATTTTGGGCAATAATCTTGGCCCCTCTGTAATTCTTTCAGCCAAAGTGTTCAGACCAATATGCCAAAAATCACACTTAAAACTTGAAATTTAAGCAGCTGAATCAGTGTCTTGCTTTTCTCAGTTTCTATTCAGAGTTGGATTGCTATGAGTATAACAAGAGATGAAGATACAAATATTTGCAATGTATTTCATGTAATGAATGAGCGAGGAGCTCTTACAAAGAGAAAAAGACACGAGGGAACAAATCCATGTGGATTATGTAAGTGTTTATCCTTCACAAAGGCTGTTACAGAAATTTAAGTTGTTTTTTATTAAAGCTTCTACCAAGTACGAGTCATTAACAAAACCACTGTCAAAAGGTATGAATACTTACCCATTATGTTGATTGAAAAAAGTTACTCTTGGTAAAATGGTTGAATCTCTTCTCAGGCTGCCTGCACACACAGGCATACTGAGCCACCACCTGCTTCATGGGGAAACAATTTCAGAAGAACAAGAGCTCTTGACAATGTCAGCAATGCATAAAAGTAAGCAGTTTTTCTTTTGGTAGGAAACACAAGAGGTCATCACTTCATTTGTATGTTAAATTTATAAAATTATACTGTGCCAGTTCTGAAAGGTTTTTTTAATTTCTTTTAAGAACGCTTTCGGTAGAGAAGACCTATAACATTTTTCTCCAATCTTTGAAGTGACTTCAGCCAATCACAAACTCTTCTCCTGAAAATGAGGCTGATTTGCAGATTTTGCACGTAACAAATGAGGAAACCAGTTTCTGAAATTAAGACTAACTGCATGACAAGTTGTAACTTCAGGCTGGAATTCCTTTTACTGGAGCTGGAAAAAGCTCATGAGAAACAGCACCACCACCAAGTGAAGAATTCCCTTCAGGCAGGACTACAAGAGCAGTTGGCACAACTGAAAGCAAAGGTACAATGTTCTGGACAAGAAAGAATCTGGTCTGCAGCATCACAGTTGCATTCTAGTCAAGAGGGTGGTGTAACATTGTGTCTTTGGGGGAAAAAAGTGCACTTGTTCCCATGACTGAGAACTGCAGCATAATACATATGGGCAAGAAAGGTGAATGTTGCAGATGACTGAACTGGTATTTTTGAGTTGCTGTTGCATTTCTTCCATGATCACACGTTTTTATGTGAGACATTTCTTAAAAAATTTAAAACCACATGGGAGACAGAGTAAAAGAACTGCAACAAAGAATTTTCAAGTTTTGCTGAATTATCAGCAAGATGGGACATCTGGCCAAATACCAGCAACAGCCCCTCCCCTGAAATGACATCATTTGGCAGCAACTCTTAAGTCTGCAGTAGTGTGTTCCTCCCTTTCAGGCCTTAGTACAAAGTTTCTAGAGAACACTTCATCCAGCTCCCTCTACTTCTAACATCATGAAGTATATTAAACCCTCTTAGAAGTAGGTAAAAGAACCAAAGAAAAGGAAATTTCCTTTGTATTTTATATCAAGTAGGAAAGGAATTCAATGCTGTCTTGTATGAGGTCTCTACAAATACTTTTGGAGACTGGAATTTCTGCTTCTGCTAGAAGAACCAGTTGGGTGCAGAATAAACCACAGTAAGAACTGGGATTTGTGCTAAAAAGCAAGAACAGTCCTACCCATTCTTCCTTTTTTTCTGAACTGAACTGCACAGGGAAAACACCATCACCACACTGGAAACACTTCAACTAGGAACAGAGAGATTTATGTATGTTAATCTGGGACAGGGTTTTCCCCCTGTGGATGCAGCAAACTTCCCATTCATTTTGTACAATATCATACATGTGTGATATTGACTGGCACTCCTGTGAAAACTCCTGTCAACGCTCCTTGTGCTTCTCCATATGCTAAAACTGTTCTTGCTCTAAGTTCAATCTTCCTTAAACAATGCAGCAGCTAAAAGAAAGCTTTAGCATATGAGAACTGAAGTGCTCTAAGTATGGAAGTTTGTTTATTAAAAAAAAAAAAAAGTAAATTACAAAGTGTTATGAAGAAAATTTATTTGGTCAATGAAAGGAAACCCAAACAAAACACAGAATTTTTGACAAAACCCACCAAAACCAAGACTGAAGACAAATGCATGACTGTTAACAACCCTTTTTCCTCTTCTGTCTCACTGAAGTTTCTCAGATTAATCACATTAGCAATAAGTCTTGGAAACTAGGCGCTTTTTAACATCAGCGTTCAATTTAACTTCATCTTGTCACACCCAAAGTGAAAGAGGTGGAACTGACATGGAAATGCTGCTCGGAAAAAACAGAGTAACTACTAGTAGCTGCTAGTAAAAGCAAAGATATTTCAAACTGCATTGCAGACTTGCTTTGTTGCAGCTGGCTGCTGCAGAGGGCACAGCAACGGCTGGTGTGCATTACAAACTACACACGATACAGGGATACTCTGGACACACTGGGAATAAACTGAAGCTAGAATTTTAGTTGTGACCTTCGTCTGCTGCCAGAAAGGCAGATGAATATGTCACTATTAAATGAGCAGAAGGTTCCTTTGCCCTGGCATGGAAATGCTGCGAAACAAACTGCAGCCCCTCAGCACGCAATGAGAAGCAGCAGGAGTGCTTCACCGAGAGTCCTTGGAAGTGCTCAGGGTACTGTTTTTTAAGGAATCACTGGTTTTGAGGGGCCAGTTCTGCCTCTCTTACACAGACCAATTGTGTGCCTCACTCCACCCCGTTATCTCTTGGTAGGGCAAACACAACTGACCAAAAGTAGAGAGTGACAGAAATGGAACCAAACAGCCTGTAAAGATGGATGAGTACACACAGAGGCACATCCACCTGCTTGTGTTTAAGCCTTGTGCATGTCATGGGCAGGTGGGCATTAGAAAGCTGCACCTAGAAGAGACACAGCCTGCAAGGCTACCCAGCTTCCATACCTTCATATATATTGTTCAGATGTAGTCTATCAAAATAATAAGCCTTCTGTAAAGTTGCCTTCTGTAAAGCTTCAAACCTGTCAGATGCTTTTTATTAGAGTAGCAAAAATCACTCCACACACTGTCCCCTATAATGATGTGTCCTCTTAAGTTTCTCTTCTGCTAAACAGATCTCTAACCAGACAGGACCACATCAGGCTTCTGTCCCACCCTCCCATTCCCTTCATTAAAACATTTTTCCATATAATGTTGCTTTAGAGACAAACTTCTGCCAGATGAGTATCAGTCTGGAAGAAAAACTTCCTGCGTTATTATAAACCTTTGAAAAAGAATTCAAATGTCTGGGCTACGGTAATTTGATAAGTTGTATCTTGGCCAGTGGGCTCCTGGTCCTCAAAAAAAATCGAAGATTAGCAGACATAACACTTCAAGCTGTGCTATGTGAAACAGGATCCAAATACTACTATGTTAAGACTAAAAAATGGAATCACTCAAATTCCTAAACAGTAAAAGCAGACAATTCCTACAGTCTTTATTTGCATCATTTTAAGTTTTCTCAGTTCACTGAGTACAGACATTGTTTCTTGCAAGTATGGTCAAGGCAGGCACATATCAAAGGAGTAAATGTCTGACTTAAGATGGGTTTGATATTCCCATCCCTCCTATTACTACTTGACAACTGTATGGAATTGAATGACAGTGAGCATCGCTGACAGACAGTGTAAAAGAAACAAAGGCCAAAGAAACACATGCTGTCCTTGCCAGATTCCATCCCAAAGCCCATCCAAACCCAAAACTGGCAGCTTGTTCTTTCAGCAGCACAACCTGACTGAGGCACAGTTCCGTGCCATGTCAGAGCACAGTCCAGGTACTCACAGCTTAAGGGGAATAATGGGCCAGTATTTGGGCTGCTTTTTGTCACAGCACCTATCAAAGATGAGCTGCATGGCAGCCTCCATTGCCTGGATTTTGGCAGCATCAGCACCGTACAGTTTCTTCATTTCCGCCATTCGCCTCTCCCCAGGTCTTTCCCTAGGCGGCTCCACAGAACGCTCCATCCTCCTGTGAAGGTCTTGATCAGCCTCCACGTATGGGTCCTCAGCTTCCAGCTGCTGCTGCCTCCCTAGACAATCAAACCATAAGAGATGTAAATTACTGAGCTATCTGAGCTATCAACCAATCATGCTTCAGTTTAGCTTTTAAAAATATTCATATTTTTGCTGGGTCTTAAAAGGCCAAAATTCACATGTTCCAGGGTGCAGCTGTGCTCATTTTGCATAAAGACAAATTCCTACTAAATATCATGATAAAGCCAGGGTGGAAGAAGAGGGAAAAAAGGAAGAAGGTCCTGGAATTGAATCCTAAAATTGTAGAAAACCTCTGTATTATTACTAGTAAGCAAAAATTAGCGCCATTTCTTCTCAACATACACATGCCGCGAAAAAAACAAAAAAACCCAAACAATCAAAACCCAAAACACAATCCTCCTCCCCCTACAAAGAAAACACAGAAACAACCCAACCAAAAAAATCCCAATCCATTCTCACAAACAAAAAAGCCCCAAACAAACTGGAGAGTTGTTTCCAAAGTAATGACTTAGCAGCTGAGAAAGGAAACAATGCAACAGGACAATGCAACTTCAGCTGAACCATAGCCAAGAGAAAATGTAATCAGTTGCTACTCTATGAAAATGAACAAATCGGTCTGTCATGTCTGCCATTAAGTGCATTCAATGAAACAGTTGTAAGCACTGTGTTTACTAAACTATCCAACCTCATCCACTTCTCAAGGCTCACAAAGTTCACAGCTGGCAGCCTTACTCTGTTGCTTTGAAGACAAACAAAACATCACCAATATAAATCCATGCATCAGGTCTGTTAAAAGAGGATTTAAAACAATTCACAGAGGCAAAACACTTGGATCAATCTGTCAACAAAAATTCTCTTTGGTAAGCCCAACTTGGAACTTGATTTCGCATGTCCAAACTTACCTCTGCTTCCTGGGTGCTGCTTTGATGAAACAAATAATGCTCTGTGCAGTTAAAACAGTGAAGTTCTATACAAAACTCTCCTCTTATTGGGACATTTCTACAAGATGTAGAAAATCACCTGGCAGCTGAACTCCTTTGCCTACAAATAACTGTCCTCAAAACTGCATAAGAGACACAGTTCACTACTAATGACAGCATTGGGGTTTTTAAAATATCAAAAAGGACAGTGTTCACAGGTCAGAATGCATTAGACACACACAGGACATGCTTCTCAGTATTTGCTGCCATGTACCTCTTCCCTCTCTCCCCTCAAGGCAAAGATTTAGCTTCCACAACACACATGACATCTGCAAACCCCAACCCAAAGTTAAGTATCCTGACAGATCTGTGTCAAACATCTGCAGTTTATTTTTATACTGGTGATGCCTCAGATTGTTTTGATATTTTAATTTCTTTTGGTAGATTTTAGAAGTAGTTGTACAGTGAATGTAGATTTTAACGTAGTTGTATTATACCTCTTACCCTGCAGCATAATGTTTACACATACCCAACCCTATTACTCCATTCCATATTCCCCTAAATTCCATTAGTGTGTTTAGTCTCCTTTTCAAGGTAGAATTGTAGAAAAACACCTTAAAATCTGCACCAGAAGATATAAACATAGACGCAACAATCTTCAAGCCTGGAGCTTTGGAACAGCTCTAAGGACTGCATGTGCTGCAAAGAAGATGAAGATGAGGAAGAGGGGGTCCCCCAAACACCCCAAGACTCAATTCCCAAAGGGGCATGTTGCGGGGTAGAACCGGGGAATGGACGAACGGGGACTGGATGGAAATCATTATAAAATTGTAACACCTGAGTTGAAAGGCGGGCACATGGGTTTGTATTCCTGGAGCCTGGAGGCTCATTAAAACTTCTGCTCCCTTATCTTATCTCCTACCTAATTGGCCTAGAGTCTTTTTTCCTCCTCAGTCTTTTAGGCAACACTGGAAAAGTACTGTACAGAGCAGCCAACTGCCTGTCAGCCTTCCTAAAGGAATTATCCCCCATACCTCATTCACATAAAATAGGTATTTTAAAGAATATAATCACAAACTTCAATTTTGGCATCTGTTTGTCTGACAGGGACACAGAAAGCTTTTGTCCTGTCATCTGAAACACCATTAACAGTTTTGTGCTGTTCGACAAAGGACAGGAGGCTTTGAGGAGTTACTAGCAATCTACTCCAGAAAGCCGTTTCTGTGACTTTGCTTTATGGGCACACCCTGAATTGGCTGCACTGCCAGAATTCACATGGAAACATACATTAGAGTCCATATGTGTTTTTGGAAGAGTCAGATTTATTTGGTGTCAGGCCATTTTAACCACAAGGTCTGAACTAAAGGAGGAGCTAACACTGCCTACAGAAGGCTCAGCACTCTGAGGACAAGGTATAGCACCCAGGCTGTGACTACACAGATCACTTGAGTCCCACCGAAATCGATTTCCTGGGACACCAATGTCTCTCCACAGCAAACTTCTGGCAAGGCAATGAACTGAACCCGTATTTGTTAACTCTCTTGGGCCACAAAGATAATTCCTTGTACTTCTGTATTGCCCATGGAAATTCTTTATTCTTTAGTTCCATAGCTGCATGCTAGACAGCTGCTTCCTCACTTGCTTGCCATAGAATGCTCTCTGATAGCTCATTGAACACACTAATGCTTTATTATTAAGAAAAATTAATTTCCCTGGAGATAGATAATGAATTCTTCTGTTTGGAAATTAAATGGGTCTGTAGCAGAAGCTTTATGATGGATGAGTGGATTACAGTTTAGGGTGCATCAATCTCCATTTTGTAGCACTGAGTAGTTCATAAATCTGCAGATGCTAGTAGTAACAATCAAAATAATAATACCAATTTAAATTCCATTCTCAAAATTACCTGTTGGACATCTGGAACATATGTTTTACTTTACACTAATTAGATGTACTGCCCCTAACTTTCTAACCTGACTTCTGCTATTTCACAGCTACTGGTTAAAAAAAGTCCCAGAGTGATTGCATTACAGAGCCTCAGACATATAAATCAGGCCTACAGAGTCCAGGCAGAAGCTTGGGACAGAAACGGGCTACAGAGACCCACAGTTTTTTGCACCAAAGGCTGAATTTAAGCATAGAACATGACAGCTGTTGCTGGTAATATTACTGCAGCTGTGTGGAATATGTTGCAGTTTCAAATCTGTTATTTGAGGAGAGATACTACTGCGACAAAATCCACAGTCACAGAAAGAATCATAGAATGGTTTGGGTTGAAAGGGATTAGCTTAAAGATCATGTAGTTCCAATACCCTGCCATAGGAAGGGATACCTGCCATTAGACCAGGTTGCTCAGAGCCTCATCCAACCTGGCCTTGAGCACTTCCAGGGATGGGGCATCCACAACCTCTCCAGGCAACCTGTCCCAGTGTCCCACCACCTCACAGTTGGCAGCACTATTTGCTCCCAAGGACAGTAAAGAAGTAATGAAACCTAATGCTGCCTTTCCAAAAGCAGTATTTCCAGACAAACATAGATATAAGGAACAGATAACAGCAGAGAAAGTATTGCCCTGTTGAGATGAACACTAAACTTTCTTTGGTGGGGCAGTGGCTGGGAAGTAGAACTGCTCTCATTTGCAGCAGTCTGGGTTCTTTCCATTACCTCAGAGTTTACTTTAAAAACAATACAAGGCAGAGCAACTTGAGCTAAATGTGCAATTACCTCTTCATCAAAAAGAGGACAACAGGCACCTGAAAATGGAAAACACAAAATTATAAACTGTCTATAGGCCTGAGCCCATAGAAGCAACCAGAATTTATCTGAAGTAAGCACCAAATACTCATCCATGAAGCAGGTAGCAAGGTTTATCCAAACACTAATTCTCGGCCTGCAGCAATGAAGTCCCCAGCTCATCCTCAGATCAGTTTCACATTCCAAATTCACAAGTCATTGTGCTGCCAAGTTATAGACATGAAACAAGTAATTTTTACACAGTTCTAAGTAGTTCCTCCTTCCAGTTCACACAGACTAAAATAAATACGCTTTCTTTTACAGCATTCAGCTTCAACTACTGGCAAGCTTTCCCCAATCAGGGAACAGTATCTTGCAAATGCTCATAAGGCAGGAAAACAGTTGCAGTGGTAGTTGGTTCCTGCACAAAGAAAAAGCACTGCTGACATTTTCCCAATTAGTCAGTTCCATTTCTTTTCAAAGATGCTCTTTCTCTCTCTTGAAGCTCTTTTCAAAACTTATTCCTACCAAGTCCAGCTCTGCTGGGAAGTCATCATTACCCGGCCAAAGGCAGTTGGGACACCTTTTTCCAGACACAGTAAATATAATTTGTTAACCATGAAGGAAAAAAGTTGAGATCTGTTGTGGTTTAGCCCCAGCCAGCCATCAAGCCCCCCACAGCTGCTTGCTCATTCCTCCACCAGTGGGATCAGGGGGAGAATCAGATGGGTAAAAGCTGGAAAACTCGTCGGTTGAGATAAAGACAGTTTAATAGGGAAAGCAAAAGCCATGCACACAAGCAAAGCAAAACCAAGGAATTAATTCAGTGCTTCCCATAGTTGGGTAGGTGTTCAGCCATCTTCAGGAGAGCAGGGCCCCACTGTGTGTAACAGTAACTTGGGAAGACAAATGCCATCACTCCAAACATCTCCTCCTTTCTCCTTCTTCCCCACAGGTTTATATACTGAGTATGATGTCATATGGTCTGGAATATTCCACTGGTCAGTTCAGGTCACCTGTCCTGTCTGTGTCTTCTCCCAGACTCCATGCACCCCCAACCTCCTTGCCAGTGTGGCAGCACAGAAAGCAGAAGAGGCCTGGTGACTGTGTAAGCCCTGCTCAGCAATTACAAAACCATCTTTATATTATCAACCCTGTGTTCAGCACAAATCCAAAACACAGTCCCATACCAGCCACTGTGAAGAAAGTTCACTCTACCCTAGCCAAAACCAGCATATCTACCTAACCAATACTGCATCCTCAGTGATTCCAGGCCTTCCAAAAGAAAGCTTTGGGTTATTGTTTCCCCTCCAACTCTTCTCCCACTTTTTATGGATGACTTTCAATCTAGTGTTTATGAGCTGAAAATGAAAGTGAACAAA